ACGCCGTTCTATACATTTTTAATCATTTCTAGCTTTATAATTACCCCATCATTAGTACATTCGAATTTAGGCTTGATGCATCACTATACATAAGTGCGGTCAAGTTCTCGGATCTGTAAACATAACTCGGTAACAATCAATGAGTTGGTAAGTAGATTCTGTTTAAATTGTGTAGTTAGTTAAAATCTCCACTGGTAACTGCAGGTTTTGTTGAGTCGAATTAGGACGCTAAGGTAAACCCTTCATATTGGGGAGTGAGATGCTAAACATACCAAATAGCAATCTTTACACTCTAACAAAAGTACCCTAACCCTTTCAGTTCACCTCAATATGGATTCCTACAGGTTTTCTCGTATTCATAAGTTAATATTAAGTAATTAGACCTTAGTTAGATATAGGTATAATTTTTTTTTTATTTTTACCGGGGCCCCGTTTGTATGTTTGCCCTATTTTTAGGGGCACTTGTGTTTTTTTTATGTCATTTCAGAAGTCTTTCCAAGAAAATTGCTTACCAAGCATACATGTACTGCCAAAAAACCTCTACGGGATAGAAAGACATGTGCAAGTGAGTACCCAAAAACTACTTTCACAACCCATAGGAGGAAATTGGTCAGACCAATTGATGTACCAAGGCACTAAAATTATTGACGTACTGCTAAGTAATATGTAAAAATATTTTTTCTTTTATTTTCTAAACCACTTTTTATTTCAGGATTACAGAATTGATTTCTTTTCGCACCACAAAGCACCAGGACATCTAAATAACTGCCATGAGGATACGCATATTTAAAGGTTTTTATCCTATTATTGTTAATTTGATCTTCTTATTAGTTATGACCATATATTCTTTTATTAATATAACCGGGGCCCCGTTTATTTGTTTGTCCCTATTTTTAGGGGCATTTGTGTTTTTCTTTTCATTTCAGATATCTTTCAAAGAAGACATTGTATTGTATGTCTATATGTTTCACCAAGATATACACGAACCACCAAGAGACCACTACCGAATTAAAGGATATGTGCAAGTGGGTACCAACAATTACTTTTGCAACCCATACGAATAAATGTAATAAAATTCTATGTTTACCTCTTTTTAGGTCTTACAGGAGATTTGGCAGAAAATATCAACTCAAAACCAACTAGCACCACTACTACCTGAACTGCCGCCTAGAACTGAATTGGATGATATGACATAATTGAAAGGAAAATTAACTGTGAGATGAGACTTTCTATTATTATAGTAGTATTTAGTTAATATCAGGTTAGGGGACGTTTTGACATTAAAATCTTTGGCCGTATCTTTTTTGGGGTTGTTCGCGTACTTTTATTCAGAGCTCAAAAGGGTGGCGCCATGAAAGAACCTTTTTTATATTTTTCGCGCTCTTCTTTACATTAATTAATTAATTATCATTTGTCCTTAAACTTCATAGGCTGGGAACCTATGAAGTTTTTTTCCTGGTGTTTACATGGTGGATCTGGGGGGTACATCATGTAAATGCTCTTTTTTTATAAATTTACAATCACCGCTTAAATACTAAAGTACACATTTTATATTGTTTTTTTTTTACCAAGAGAGGTTCTTTCATTTTTGAAAACCGAAATTTTTGGGTACATTAGGTCATTTCGCGGGGATTCTTCTTTTCGCGATATATTTAGTTCTGTTAGGTATAATTAGTATGTAAGTTAGTTTAAGTGGATTAGGGCTGCACAAATCGATACTTAGTAGTATTTACACTATATCCATTTCCATCTGAAATGTTAGAAACGTAAATATGAATAGAAGTATCTATTTCTGTGGCGACACCACATTAAAAAAAACGCGCCTGGCAACTTTACCCCATGGGTGGTGAGGAAAAAAGTTGCATCTTAATTAAGTACATATAATTATCAAAATTAAAATATTTAAATAATTATGTTAACTAATAAACATAAATGTGTCAATATATGTGTCAAAATATCTTAAAATAAATTTTTTGCAAAATAATCTTTGCTTTTTAATATGTGGTTAATGTTTTTAAATTTTTTTCAGAACTTCATAAAGAATTATTATATTCTTCCAGAAAGAATATTGTCAATAACTATTAATTTTGAATTAATTGAATGAATACTATAAATACTACAATGCAAAGAGTTATATGATTTTTGATAAAATATATTTTATCTCTTCGCATTGTAGTATATATAGTATTTTTTCAACCTCTAATTCAAAGTCATTAACTATTATTCTTTTTAAAAGCATATAATAATTCTTTAGTATATATGAGATATAAAACTTTAGTCAAAATTGAAAATAAAATCTGAATTATTTTCGATATAAACAAAAAAAATTTTTTGAAAAAAAAATTGTTAAAATAAGTAGAAAGTTCTTTGAATCATTCAAACTGGGCGCTTAGTTCTCTCAAAAACTGCCATGTTTGCAAATTTAGCTGGGTATCTCCGAAACAGCTGGACCTGCCTTTGCCAAAAGTTAATTACCACCTCTCCCCATCATTACAAATTGAATGTTTTTTAGATCATTCAAATTGGATGCTCCGTTCTCTCAAAAACTCGATTTCTATTTTCTGCACTCTCTTCGCTCCGTAACTCCGACATTACTATTTAAAATTACTATAACTTACCCAACGCAACGTTAAAAATTATATCTAAATAATTTAAAATAAATTGTTTAATTAAAAAAGTAAAATTTTGTTTATTAAAAAGGGCGCCTGAACGGATAGGGCCTAGGGCCTAGGGCGGCAGAAAGCTTAATCCGCCACTGACATAAAACATAAATGAACGCGCCATTGAACCAATGCTAATCTCGACCTAAGCCAAAGACCTTAAACCTTTTTCGAACTAGAATCTCTTTTGTTATAATAATTTCAATCTAAATTTAAGACTTCATAATAGAACGAAGAAACTACAAAATAAGAAAAGAATCTATAATTTAATATGATGTTGTGAGTAAAATATGAAGAAACATGTTTATGTTGAGTTGTAAACGACTGGTTCTGGTTCGATTTCCGCTTTGGGCAGTCTGATATCAAGCAGTAACGTTATTGGTTGAACTTTTACTTGAAAGTGAAAATAGACTTATAATTAGATTACATGTCAACACTAATAGATTCACATATCTGATATATATAGTACATAGTAACAGCAAAGAAGAGTAGTTAACCACTGGGTTGCTCTCTCGTAAAAGATAAGATTAGGAATGTTAGCAAAAATACAGCTCAGGAAACACATAGTTCCGATTGCTGTTGAAATTAGAAATTAAATGCTATTTTTGCAAATTATGATTAAACATCAAACAGGTTTGTTTTCTATAGAAGTTATTAATAAATATATTTAATCAAGTAAATCTTTCAGGTTAGTCACTGGTCGATTTTGCACACGAACCACTGCCAATATAAAAGAAAATTCATATAAAAATGTAATTCAAATCCTTCATTCAGTGAATGACTTGCAGACGATGTAATGTTATCTAACAGCATTTGTAAACAATAATGAAACTGTATTTATATTTCTGCTCGTAGGAGTGTTTAAATATAGATAACGACAAAATTGAACCGTAATCGCAAAATGCGCTTGATCATATAAACATAAGCATATCTTTATCTTGCACAAGTGGATATTATATGAAATGAAAGAAGACGTCTGTACATGACATTTGAAATTATAATTGGTGTAATGTCGCCTTGACAAAACTACTTCAGACCTTGCTCACGTTCAACCGCTTTATTCGGCAAAAAGAAACAGTAGCCGGCAGACCGTTTTATTTGCTGCATTACTCTTGTTGGCGAAATTAGTGCACGATGGCTCAACCACTAGCTACATCTGATATCAAGTATACCAAGGTAAGGTATTTGTTTATTTATTTATTTTACTTTTATATATATATATATTTTTAATTATACGAAAGCTGTGATAATTCTGTAAACGATACACATTTTTATAGATTATACATGAAGCATATTTGTGGTTCAATTATAACATCCGGTACCAATTCAAAACATAACTTAACGACACGCAGAAGTGAAACAGTCAAATTAGTTAGATATTTTTTACTATTCGAGATATTTACAGGCAGAATGTTGTATTTCAGTGATTATTTTTTGGGCCAACCGTGGCATAAACAATAACGATGGCCAAGCTCAGTATCAAGCAGTATGATATCAAAGATCTAAAATTCAATATAAAATGAAAATTGATTTTTGCTAACAAGCCAACACTATGAGATATACATATCTAATATTATATAGTAATAGCAAAAGAAGAGTGGTAAACCACTGGGTTGCCCTCTCAAAGAAAAATAACGGATTAGGAATGTAAACAGATTAGTAAATTCAGCTCAAAATATGTACATGCAATTCTGATCGATGTTAAAAAAATAAATTAATTTTTTGAAATTATGATTTGCATTACCATACTCAAGTATGAAATAAATGAAGTATGGAATAAATTTATTCCGAAATTTTGGTCTGATCGGTTTTCAGAAGTATTTCATAAATATGTTAACTTTGGTTTAGGGTATGAAATCCGTTTAATTAATTCTATCCATCATATAAACAATGGATGAAACAAGTTCTAGGTATCTCGTTTTTGCTACTTCATTATAATTTTTACTTTAATTGGTATATACTTCTTTTATCCATGGGTATATTATTTGAACATTTTTATAGTAACAACTAAAAAAAAAGGCAAACATCTAATTCGCCAACGTCATGATGATTATTAATATAATGAGTCATGATAAAACACTTTAAGCTTAATTAAAATATGAGAGATAATACAGGACAAATGTCTTAAATAAAGTTAATTGGGGAGTTCTCATAACATCATATCTAAAAAATTTTACTTCTTCATAACGCTGTAACCGGATTGATAACTGTAAACAATGATTAACAAAATAGGTATAGGTATTCTCATTGCAAAATTTAAAGTGATTTATTTACTGATAAAATATTATTTATTATTTCAGCTATTCATCAACAATGAATTTGTCGATTCTGTAAGCGGAAAAAAATTTCCTACTATTAATCCAACCAATGAAAAGAAAATTATAGATGTATCGGAAGGTGATAAGGTAAGTTCTAATCATGTCATAACTTAATTATTAGTTTTTTTTATTTTCTTAAAGTTGCAATCAAGATACAATAAAATCTTGATTTTTTGGCTGATGTTTAATTTAACGATTAGTAGCTAATTGTTTTTGAAACATCAATATTGTTTCATATAATTTGTATTCGAAAACCGACCATTACGAATGGTTTGGAATTTCTCAGTTTTATCAATATCAATTCGATCGCCGATTAAGTATAAACAAAATTGTTTGTTGCAATATTTTGAACAATGAATAATTCGAGGCAACACTATTACTAATACGATCTGTAAATTATACAATATCGTTTATTTCAAGAGAATTTTATTGGTAAACAATTACACATTTTCTAATATTTATATATTATGCAAGGTTAGCTTATGCTAATTTTATTCGTATATATTAATTGCGCTGCAAATATAAATGTGCATCGGTTTAGGTATTATACTTGTTTATCTGTGGGTTTAGGTAATTTTTTTTTTCGTTTTATCATAGGTTTTTTTTATAAAACGTTCAAGGCAATAAATTATTTGTATACAAAAGTCAATTTTTATGTATGTGTCATTAATACTATTAGGCGACTGTCTTACAAATAAATTGATATAAGAGGGGAAGTGTGTCCTTCATTTTCTCGTCGAAATGGAACTGGTTCCTTACCATCATTTGGATCAGACTTTAAAATCATTTGATATGGTTTTCACAGAAATATTCCAAAGCTATCCGGGTATTACAAATTCTTCATGTATATAAACATTGATATAGCAATACACAATAATTTTTTATAAAACTTAAATTCAAAACAAATTTTTGCGGGATATGTAGCTGAGTATATTCCAAATTGTATATGCTACAAATTACATTCAAGACTGTATTTTAATCACAATTTATTATCACTTTAATTATTCACTTTCCGAAAGCGAAACTTGACTTACTGATTATAATTCAAGTCGATCCAATCATTTGATATCATAATTAGAACATATATTTTGTCGTTCTGTGAAAAAAGGATGAATAAGATGAACTTGAAAAGGTTTTGGATTAGTATTTTGCGAAAATCATGAAACAAAGGCAAAGCCTTTTTTATAATGAGCAGATTATTTCAAATATTTTTGTCCACGTTTTCACAAACCAATGAACCGATGAACCGATTTTAAAAATTCAAAATCTATTTCAGAGATATCAATTGTAAGCGTGCCGATTAGTTTTTTGATGTTTTTATTGCACAGCATAACAAAATATTGTTTTAAACGTATTTTTATATAATTATATTTATTTAAAATCATATGATTCTTCCGATCTTAGGCCGATGTAGATCTGGCAGTCGCTGCTGCCAAAAAAGCGTTTGCGCTAAACTCAGCATGGCGCCAGATGGACGCATCTGCACGCGGAAAGCTACTTAACAAGTTTGCTGATTTGATTGAAAGAGATCTTCAATATTTAGCAAATTTAGAAACCTTAGACAATGGAAAACCATTTTCTAATAGTATCATAGATATACAGTGCGCTATCAATACCATCAGATATTATGCGGGCTGGTGCGACAAAATTCATGGTCATACAATTCCAGCAGGTAAAAAACTTCTTTTACGTTTATAAACTAAATAACTGCTATTGTATTAGGTTTTACCAAAATGATGTAAATCATATATTTAATACTTTTGTAGATTATGGATTGACCAGCTTCACATTCCGACAACCAGTTGGTGTAGTAGGTCAGATTTTACCTTGGAACTTCCCAATTGCTATGGTGTCCTGGAAATGGGGCCCTGCTTTGGCGGCAGGTATATTGAGAAATCAATTCTTTTTTATTATTGACACGATATTTTTATAACAATCATGCAATCGCGATGCATTACCATCAAGTCAAACCGCTTATTAAAATCATGACTATTGACCATTTTCTTCCAATAGAATCACTCCTCAATCTCTCATATCATTTCAGGATGCACAGTTGTCTTGAAACCAGCAGAGCAAACTCCATTGACAGCCCTATATCTTGCATCTCTGGTGAAGGAAGCGGGTTTTCCTGCAGGCGTGGTCAACGTTATCACAGGTTACGGACCTACCGCTGGTGCTGCGATTGCCGAGCATCCAGATATTAATAAAGTTGCATTCACTGGTTCAACAGAGGTTGATATTACTTACATTTTTGTTGTAATTATGTGAAATAATGATTGATATTATAAATGTTTATAAATTTAGGTCGGCCATTTGATCATGGCAGCTGCTGCTCGTAGTAATTTGAAGAGGGTTTCATTGGAATTGGGTGGAAAGAGTCCTCTTATTATTATGGGAGATGCTGATGGTAAATACCTTTATAGAATAAATTAAATGTATTTCATTAATTTTTAATGAAAAAATATTTCACTAATTTTCTATCAGTTGATGAAGCTGCACTAGTCGCCCATGACGCTTGTTTCACTAACCAGGGCCAAACCTGCTGTGCAGGAACACGCACATTTGTACACGAAGCAATCTACGACAAATTTGTAGCAAAAGCTAAAGAAATTGCAGAAGCACGAGTCGTAGGTGATCCTTATGACAAAAACACCGCACAGGGCCCACAGGTAAAGATATAGCCTCTTTAAAATTATATTTTATCAATAAATTTAATTTTAGTTATAATTAAAAATTTAATAATGCAATTTTTTTCGAACAATAAATCAATGAATAATATATCTAGGTGGATGAAGAAATGTTCAACAAAGTTATGGATTTGATTAATGCTGGTAAGAAAGAAGGAGCCAAATTACAAACAGGTGGCGAAAGATATGGTTCTATTGGATATTTCATAAAACCAACTGTTTTCTCTGATGTCATGGATGATATGCGTATTGCTAAAGAAGAGGTAAGTTTGAAAATGTAGCGGAAACGGTATATCTACCCTGCTGGTGTTTTACTAACATATAGTACTTCTATATAGATTTTTGGTCCTGTTCAATCCATATTCCGTTTCAATTCTCTAAGTGACGCAATTGAAAGAGCTAACGCTACAAGTTATGGGCTTGCCGCTGGTATTATTACAAAAGATATCAATACTGCAATGTTATTTGCTAAATCTGTGGAAGCAGGTTCCGTATGGTAAGATTTTTTTTTATAAAAATAATCAGTCAGAGTTATAATCCATTGGACATCCGTTAGGCGCGGAAGTAATGCCGCAGAAGAAATAATGAGGATTTTAAAAATTGTAAAAAATTAAATGCAATTGTTACATATCATTATTCTGCAAGATGTACCTACGTATTAGGATAGTGTTTGAACTACTAAAGGATATTGCAATAGTTTGTTATATTTTTTAACTATAATGAAAGGGATGCGATTAAATATTTCCGTCACCATGCATTTCTTATTACTTATTGAGATTAAGAACAAAATGCCTCGCAGATTATAAAAGTATTTATACAAACATTTACAAACATATTTATCATCGCATCTCAATTAAAGTATTATATGCATTTATGTAGTCTAGCATTATAATTTTTATATATTAAGGATAAATTGCTATAATGCTGTAGTGCCACAAGCACCATTTGGAGGATTCAAGCAATCTGGTATTGGAAGAGAACTGTAAGTAATAGCAATTTCTTAGATAGACAACTAATTATTAAATAAATTTCGGTGGTTATTTGTTATATCTCTTAAACCAATTTATATTTCAGAGGAGAGGAATCACTTGAGGAGTACACAGAGACTAAGACTGTTACATTGAAAGTAGCAAATAAAATATAAAAGGCTTTTTTTTACTGTACATATGTACCTGTGCAGTCTAAAACACAGTTGTAATTCAGTATGTAGTAATAATATAAGGTTCATGACTTATTTTCTATATAGTAACCACAGTTACCCACTAAGCCAAAATACGTAATATTTATGTAATTTTTACGCAAAAAAATGACATACTTATGTCATTTTTACGTAAGATTAATGTAAGATATGTGTCATAATTTCGCCTATTTTAAGTAATGTGGATTACGTAATATGGGATTACGAAAATATTTCATAATAATTACGTAATTTTTGAAAAAAAAAAATGACGTGGAGGGGCCCTTTTTTACACACATACATATATACACACAGCATATCTGTATATATGAACACACACATACACACATATGTGTATATATGAACACACACATTCATGAACATAGAAATGAGTATGCACACACACGCATACATATAAACACACACACACACACACACACACACACACATATATATATATATATATATATATATATATATATACACTATCTGAAAAATGAACGAAAAAGCACATTTATATGGCATGTTTATTTTTTCGGCATATATACACAATTTAAACATTAGCAAATCCATAAAGTAATAAATAATAATTCACAATTTTTATAAAATAATGTAATTACATATAACATATTGATCAACATTTTCATGGCAAATGGAAAAAATATACAATATGATAAATGATAAGAGAAATGCAAATTTAAAATTAAACTCGAAATAAAAATCATCGAAGTATCCTTTACAAAGTCTTCATAAGTTCTTTCACTAACTATTTCATGGAAAATATTATGTAATTAGGAACTGTCGTATCTTCTGTTAAAACTAAATGTGGTATAAGTCTATGATGTCTTCTCTACAAAAGCATTCTCGATATCTATTTCATGGCCCATTTGTGATGAAAAAATGCATCTCGGATATAAATTATTAGCTTTCGATTTTCACCTGAAATATAAAACATGGTAATAATTTCTATTTAACTTTTGATACATATATTTTTTATATACTTACACAAAGCAAATGGTTTTCAAAAGGCCAAGTGATTCTGTTATATATAATTTGTATTATATATAACAATATATATATAATATAACTGAATTTATATTAACAATAAAATAGTATTTAGAATATGAATACCGTTACATTTGAAACAAAATTCTTTATATATCTAATTATTATTAGAAAAAAAATTAATAACACACACGATTAATTTTTAGGTTAATGGAGCGTTTTAGAGTAAAGATTTAAGTAATTCATGTAATTTAAGAGGCTTTAGAATATATTTATAATAAACATATATCTTCACATATTTAATATCACTTTCACATTTAATTAGCAAATTAAAAATATGATAAGACACTACAAAAACACAAAACTTAATTTAAAACGCATGGCGAGTCGTACTCCCATAATCCTTGCCTAGTAGCCGCTAGTAGCCGGCGGCTCGGCACGGCAGCCTTCTTGCAGACATAACGGTACTTATGTCACTTAGCACCGTTCATTGGTTGACAGCTTCGTTCATGAAACGAAATGTTCCGAAAATTCGCGAGCCATTTTTATTTCGTCTCTATGCAGTTAATGCAGTACGATTACTTTGAAAAAAAGTTTAGAATTTTCAAAATATTTTTTTTTTAAAAAGTCTTTTTTTCAAAAAAGGTACTTTTTTGTCAAAATTTTATAGTTTCTCAAAAATCTAATTTTTTTAAAGTAATTTTTTTCAAAAATGTTAATCTTTTTAAAACAAAATAATTATTAGTACGGGAAGTTCCAACAATTTGCCTAGTTTATGTAATATATATGAAATAAAATCTTCATTTATCTTACGTAATATATTTTTCAGGAAAATTACGTAATATTTATGTAATTCTTTCGTAATATCTAATTACGTAATGTAGATTACTTATTTCTTACATAAAAATTACGTAATATTACGTAACTGGTTTAGTGGGTACTATTCATAGTAATTATTACAAAAACTAAAATATAATCTGAAATAATCATTAAGATAAATAGATGATTAATAAATCAATAAATAAAAATTATTTAGAAACAATAATAAATTTATTTTTATTATTCATTATATAAAAAATATTTGTATTTAAAGTGCACTTTCTTGTACACTTTATTCATTTACCAACAAATACTACAATTATAAACATTAGAATAACTCATTATTAAAAACAAATTCTATTTATTATCGCCTAATATATCAGAATGTGAAAACTTCCAAATTTTAATAGTTCCATCATCACTACAAGACGCTAGCATGCCTACATTTTTAGGATTCCATTTAACCGAATTGACATCTTCATCATGTGCTCTATTTTCAGATAAAACTAAATTAAATGTTGGTGCATGGATATCACTAATATCATCTTCTTTAAAATTCTAATCATATCATCTCCACAAGCAGTGACAATGAAATCGGATTGTTTTACACCAATCCACATCATATATTGCTCTGGTATGGTAACCACCAAGAGTGCAGACACTTTCCAAACATTTTCATTATCAGGAGTAGCAACGCCTTGATTATTTCCAGGTTTATAAACTTGCCAAATTTAATAGTTTCATCTGCACTACATGTCACTAAACGATCACCTGTAAAAAAGCGTAATATGCTCTATACAATACAACTCTTATCTAATTTGGTAAAATAAAGGAATTTTAGTCAGTTAATTATTGTTTACATCGATAACTTGAATCTAAATAGTTCTTTGTGAAACATAGCAATGTGTCTACTTGTTTTGAATTGATTCAAAATTATACCTGTTTTATTAAATGCTAAACTCCAAACGTAGAAGTATGCGACTCCAACGTGGCAGTACAAATCCAATCATTATCTGATTGATCTTCTCTGAAAACTTTTACTGTATTATCATAACTGCAAGATGCTAATATTTCAGATGTAGGATGCCAAATAACCTGCATTATATTTATTATAGAAAAATATAGCAAACTCTTAAAAAAGCACTAAAAAATAATATTTTCATAGATGATTCAAACCTTTTTAACATCCTGTGAATGAGCATTTAAAACTGCAGCACATTCGAACTCATCTTCAATGGAACTTGCAATTTCCCAAACCCAAACAGATTATCTCTACTACAAGTTGCTAATAGGTGCCCTCGGGTGACCATGCAACACTTTTGACTTCATTTTCGTGGCCTTCTAGAGTAGCTGAGCATTCAAATTCCCCTGAAGAAGAAAATGATAGGTAATTGTCTCTCGATTAAATATAAACCTAACGATCTCTCTTTATATATCAAATTATTATTTCATAGCTCACCACTCTTCTTGTCCCATATAGAAGTGGTTGCATCAAAACTGGCTGATGCAATATAATTTCCACAAGGTGACCAGGCACTTCTCTTATAGTCCTCGTGTGACTATCGGTGAGAATTGTTTTGATAACCCATTTGTCACCATCAATACCCCAAATTCTAATTGTTTTGTCTTCTCCACAAGTGGCTAAGGCTGTACCCAAGGGGTGCCATGAGACACACCAGACTCTGCCAGTGTGTCCTTTTAAGTTTGCTGTAATTCTAGTCTGCTCATAATTATCACAAATATTAATTCAGATAAAGGTTATGTTATGTGTAAACTTTATTTCGTTTGTTGAATATTAAAGTTTAATCATTATCGTTTATATTCTTAAGATATATGTTGTTTCAAATTTTATTCATTGTTTTTGTGATTTTATACATTAGTACTTATTTATTTCTATGATTAAATCCATATTAAATCATTGTCATGCTTTTGTGATACAGTGATTGAATCAGGATGTTCTATTTTCTATTGTTACTTTTTTTTACATTTTGATTCTAATATTGAATTTGAGTTAAATGTATTTGAATTCAAACTATTTATCTTAAACTAATATGAAACGTTATTGAATGTAGGTACTGTTCCAATTGATTTTAAATTATTTACTTTCTTATAAACTACTCAAAGAAATTATATAATTTGTTAAGGAAAAGGTGTACCTCACCTGTCATGTAAATTGTAGTTGTCAAACTTCAGACTTGTACAATTCTGACAGTTCATTTACTAGAACGTAGGAATAAGGTTATGTGACATAATTAATCACAATAATCATATAAAAACATTAGTATTGTGTTATTTCAATATCACTAATGAGACTTATATTCTTTGTGATGCTTTAATAAGTATTTTAACAATCAATATGTTCAGATTTCGATGGCTTTCGTCGTTTGGTGCGCCGTCATACAAATCCTATTGAAGAAACACAGCTGAAAATGGCAAAAACGACTCAGTTTTGCTTATTTTATTCTAGCTCTAATGTTTTTATAGGTGTGGGATATATGTGCTATAGTGGCCGTGCAGATTGGGCTGATTATTACGGATTTAAAAGTCCAGAAGATAAATATATACCTGCTGGTGTACAGTGGTCGCAGACACTTGGATTGACAAAGCTAAATATATTAGATTTTCTGGCTTCAAAGTCGTTGAAGAATATGATATTGAAGATAGACAAAAAGTAGAAAAAACAAACTCATCAGAGTAGAAAATATTAGTGAAGAAATTATGTAAATTGTTATAAAATGGGTTTTAAATGATATTGCATTTTGTTCTTGTTATGTAAATCAACACAATATTAAGGGACCTATATGTGCGATTTTTCATTCATATATAATATATAAGCTCCAGACAATACTAGAATATTATATATTTATGTGTAAAACACTAGAATTTTTTCAAAATAACACCTGTGTTTTATATTCTTATGTATTAGTTTGGTGGCATTATATTTGGTTTCAAATTTTAAAAATTTATTATATTCTTTTCAAATTTAATATTCACTAGCTTATACAACAGAAATAATAAACATATCGAGTAAAAAAATGTATTAACAACTATATATTTTATTAATATTACCCCGCTGCTATTTAAAAATCAAGAATACAGTTGGCGCAACTGATTGTTTGACATTTGTACAATTTCATGTTGTCAACATTAGAAAAATTACAACGCTGTCAACAAAGTTTCTACTTCTTTGTATAACCTAGTACAGACTTTATTAAACATGTTAAACGTCTGTTTAATAATTAA